ACTCCGATTAAAGCGATATCAAGTTTCATCAATGCCATAAAATAATGAATTATATTTGTATCAGGCAGTTCCAAATGCAATCCAAAAATAACGTCCTCTCCGAATTAAAAATTGTCCTCTCCGAATAATTTTTTGACGCCACATATCTCAAGAACTGTTTATCCTTTTATTCTGGAAGTTGGTATGCAAAAGCATCCTTACCATGTGTACATGTAGCTGTGCAGTACAGAATAAAGGGTCAAACTGCTCTGACATTTTAAAAATCAGTAACTTCATGCTGTCAGTCCATCATTTTGTGGTATTAAAAGATGCAAAACTGAATGTTACATGAATGAAACCATTTTGCACTCAAAAAATTGAGTTGTACTCTGATTTCATATCATCAAGTCATCAAACTATGTCATTCACAGTCACCCAAAGAAACAATATATATTTTTGTTCTGCATAATATCACAAGGTGAATCTTTTCATTATGGATATGTTTCATGGTTGGAAAACAAAGCTTGTAGCCCTAAAATTGTACAGACTTTACAGTAACATGTATACAACATACAAACAAAAATTCAGAATAATCAAAAGAATTTTTTTCCTCACCACAAATGAGACAAAGTGTGTACCCTAATTGTAAAAAACCCATAAACATTTTTCACATGAGTATTCCAATTCAATTTATCATTAATCCATAATCCTCGCAACTATATTTCTTGGACACAGTCTACAGGTTTGCCTTAAATGGTATTAAGTGGATGAACAATCGCATCTTTAGTAAAATTTATTACCAAAGTTAACTATATTTTTGATTAGTTTTTTAATATATTGTGCATCATATCATACCTAAGAGAGCCTATACAGAGCATGCATAGATTCAAACGAAAATGGTACCTAAATGTACTGGAAGGCAGGCGCGGATCCAGGAGGGGCGAGCGGGTCTTGCCCCCCCCCCCCCCCCCGCAAAAGAGAGAGAGAGAGAGAGAGAGAGAGAGAGAGAGAGAGAGAGAGAGAAGGAAAAGAAGGAAAAGAGGAGAGAAAGGGAAAGAAAGAAGAGGAAGAAAAGTAAAGGGGGAAAAAGAAGTAGATTGGGGAAGGCCACAAGAGCCTTGCCCCCAGCTGTTACCCCCCCCCCCCAGAAAAGGGAGAAAAAAGGGAAAGGGTAAGAGGAGAGCTAAAAAGGAACAAAAAAGAGGAAGAAGAAAAGAAAAGGGTGAAAAGAAGGGGAGAACAGTTGCGATTAATCCCGCCAACAATGTGTGGTTCGGGGGCCGAAAGGCCCTTGCCTTCCCCCAGCAAACCTAAAACAGAGAGAAGGAGGGGAAGTGAAAGGAAAAGGAAAAAAATGGAAGGAAAAAAAGAGAAAGAAGAAAGGTAGCGGAGATCAATTGCGATTTCCCCGCCTACAAGGTGCAGATCAGGCAGATGCCCCCCAAATATAATTTGAACGCAGTGATTTAAAACTGTTGCTATAATGACACAATTTTTTCCTCGATCTTTAGTAAATTATACTTATGTATGAGTTTGTTAGAAAATGGCAAATCTCTAAAGAAACAAAGAAAGAATAGTGACCTGCCTCTGTCACGAAATAATGAGGTGTCAAAAAATGCTCATCTGACCATAATTTATTGCCCAAACCCCTGAGCTTCCAGGGGCTCCGCCTCCTGGACCCCACGCCAATTCGTGACATGCCAGTTTCATGAATAAGGTATCAAAATATGCTCATCCGGCCGTAATTTGTTGCCCAAACCCCTGAGCTTCCTGGGGCTCCGCCCCCTGGTTTCCTATACCAATTTGTGTCCTGCAAGTGTCAGAAATAATGTATCAAAATATGCTCACCTGACAGTAATTTAATGTATAAAACCCCTGAGCTTCTGGGGGCTCCACCATAGACCCCACGCCAAATTACGCTACGTTTTGCCTGATAGTAAATACCCCCCCCCCCCCACGTACTTAGAGAAACGTTCAGCTGGGCCTGCATGTAAGAGTGGGGTGATGCGGATTTCGTTTGTCTACCCCCCCCCCCCCTCCACTTGCCTGTGTCAGTATTACGTTTGGTCTCGGAATTTGAAAATTTGACCGATCGACATTTCGTTTCATTGGGGGGGGGGGGGGGGGGGGGGTAAGGTCACCTTTTTTAGGTCATCCGTTAGCATATATATGTATTTTTTAAAATATGTTTTTTATTTATTATTACACACACACACACACACACAAAAGGGGGTGGGGGTTTAACCCCCAAACCCCCAAACCCCCTGCGTACGCGCCTGGTAGTATGCATATAAGAAAATGAATAATTGCTTTCCGACTTTATGCGTGTAGAGAGCTAACCTGGGCATGAATCCTCTATTTCCTTCCAAGATTTATTCCACAAAATCACAACAGATAGTAAGATAAAACTACTGAGTGCAGGGTCGAATCCAGTCAGCGGAAGGGGAGGGGGCCAAAGCAGGGGCCTCATTCGTGAGAGAATATTTAGCAGCGAAACAGCCAGCCGGTAAATAAGCAAGGGGGGGGGGGGGTAAGGAGCACTATTTTTTTTTTTGGGGGGGGGACCCTCAAAAATTTGAAAAATTGCACCCCCCTTGAGCGCCAGGGGAGGGGGCCCATCTCCAAAAAAGGGTAAAATTAATGTTTTAACTGTATTTTTTTTCTCACGGGAGGTGGCCTGGGGCCCCTTCCTGGATCCTCCACTGGCTTTCCATATCGTAATAATTTTCTACCACGATGTGTTTGTTGGCATCCACCAAAAATGTCAAAATAGATTTGACTTATCTCCAATGATATACTGTAGGTTAGCAATGAAGAAACAAATGTCTACGAACATACCATGCTGAACATACCGGTTCTCGTCCGATCTCTGAAGTCAAGCAGCATAGGGCCAGGTCAGTACTAGGATGGGAGACCCTTGGGAATGGCGAATGACCCCTGGGAGGTCTTTGGCTCGATCACTAGTGATCGCGGGACATCAAAAAGCGCCCCCAAGGACCTTTTCGTGGTGAACGTCCCCTTTGGTTACCGCGGCGAAGCCTGCCAATTGCGGCCAAAAGTTGCTTGCAGTGGTAATTTGACCAACTGAGACAAAAACCAGGTTCCTCTCTCGCTTTAAAGAAACAATTCACCCATTTACATAATTTGATTAATTAATTAATTAATTAATTTGCTCTTTTTATGCATCCTTTTTCTGATACTTTTTCAAATCAAAATTAGCCAACCTTAATTAAGTTCTAATTTCAGTCCGGTGTTGTTGTTGCTTTCCTTTATTATTTTTTTAATATATGTTTTGTAAATGAAAACCATTTCCCCTTTTTTTCTCAATCTATATCTGTCTTTTTACAGTTCTCTCTATCTTTCCTTTCTTTCTTTCTATCTTTCTTTTTCTTCCTTTCTCTCTCTCTCTCTTGTTATTTTTCTTTCTTTCTCTCTCTCTCTTTCTAACGCTTCAGCTATCTGTTTATACATACTCTTTCCTCTCCATCTTTCTCTCTATCTCTTTTTCTTTCTTTCTCTCTTTCTATATTTCAATTCTCTCTATCTCTCTTTCATTCTATCTCTCTTTCTCCATTTCAATTTACTCTCTCTATCAATCGCATACATTGGAAACAAATATAATATACAAATACAAGGTAAATATTAGGTTGTGCTTTTCTTTATATTGGACACATCAATCATGGCAAATCATTGATCTGATCAGAAGCACACAAGTGCCTAATATTTTACAGACATTTTAAAGTGATGCTTCAAAAAATTATGTTTCATGAATACAGAGTCACATAATTGAGCTAAAAAGATAATTATACCAATGTATTTCATTATACTTTCCCTCCTAAAAAGAGCCATGGCAAGAATACAGTATCATATCAAGGAACTTTATTATAAATCAGTGCATAAAAAGGACTATAACAAGAATACCATCATATCATGGCATCATATATCAAGTCATTAATACAAAGAGCCATGGCAAGAATAAAGAGTTGTATCAATACTGTACTGATGCTTACGCTGTATCACTCCTATATCATGTTAAAAATGAGTAACATTATCCTATGTATTGTCTATGTTCTATACAGGATGAGTATCGTGTGTTGTACTTTGAAACGTAAATTATATCACACTGATGGACAGCATCTTTGTTTAAAATATGATATAGAAATAAAAAAAATCAATACTCCATCAACAAACGAATTATTTAACAAACTAATTAAAAAACAGTCCAATACTACATCCCTAAAAAGGTGACATTTTTATATTTAGAATCATGTCTTTAAAAATGAAGTTCAAGCAATATAGACCTGAAATACAAGGTGGCATAATGATATTAGTAATCATGTCAATCAAAGTTCAAGGACTACATCCCTGAAATACAAGGTTTTATAATCATGTCATAATTCAGCATCATCTAGTAACTTCATTGGGACCTTCTGCCTGAAAACCAACATGTAAAAACTCATTTTTCAAATGCACCCCTCCTTCTCTCCAACTCTTCATCAACATTCCTTTTAAAAGCCTCGTAACTTTCATACTCATTGTCAAAGCCCAGAGTTGTTGACCTGTTTGTTTTTCCGCAGAAGGTGAATATTTTTTGCTTGCTCCCAAGTGTATTTGGCTTTGATGGAGTATACCGTTTTCTCAGTCCTCCACATTTTGGCACTTTGCAAGCCGCACATGGTTTATGGGATGGATCTCTAAGGGGATACAACTTGTGGAAGGTAATGAAATCGAACGTGCTGTGGGTTGTGAGGGTAAAACAACAAGATTGGTATACCTGCTACCTTGGGAGTAATAATGGGTAACTTAGGTTTTGGTTCGTCACCAGCAGGAGATGTAGGCACTGTAGATGTGCAAGGTGCTGTGACATGCCTTGTAGATGAAGAAGTCCCTGGTTCATCGATGAGTGAGTGCCTCTTCTCACCCTGACGCTTGCCAGACTCATGAGGTACGACACTGTACTTAACCTGTGCATACCCTGGGTTCGGCTACATCTCTGGAAGCTCGACAGGTGCCGGAGGGGATCAAAAGAAAGGACTTTGCTATGTGGGAGGAGTTTGGGTTGAGTGGTTGCAAGGAAATTGATCGCTTCTCTTGCTTGCCGATGAAATTCGTAATTGATTTGGAGTTGATGTTTGGAAGGGGGAGATTTAGTGTGGCGAGGACTGGGTCATCACAAAGCCCGTCACAGATCCTCTTATACCTTGTCCTGATGTTAGTGGCGGTCTTGGTTGGAGACAAGCCCTAAATAGACGGCAGATTCTTAAGCAGCTGGATGACCAGGTACCCTTGACTACTCCGTGATTTGGGCTGCCTGCGCATACTTCATCCACCCAAATTTGGTCTTTTGGGCGGCGCTTGAGTGTGATGATTCTGGCCCGAGGCAACGTCCGAACAAAGTGTAGCCCCACTTGCTCTCGTACTTTTTAACAAAGTTGCAAACAGATTGATCATGCGTTGCTAGCTCACTTTTAGCTTTGTAAATTTGCTCTCTTATCTCTGCTGGGATAAGATGCTGCTCCCCTTCTGTCAGCTTAACCAGATGCAAGGCGAGGGCTTCAATTTGCTCGAAACCAGGCAAGTGTAAGTGGCGGTTGCTCATCAGGACATCCTGCATAACAGGGCTGATCTCCTCTCTGACTTGCTCTTCCTTCGTCAGGACGGTGTGGTGAGCGCTGACGGCATCCATGTGGCTAGATGCTGAAATTACAGGAGCATCATTGGCTGCATCGTCTTCAATGCCTTCGTCTTCGTCCTTCTTGTCAACCTCTTCGTCTTCAGCCTTATGCTCCTCTTCGGCTGTAGGAAAAACAGATCAAAGAAAGAAAAACAAACAATAAGGTATCATGGTAAAACATTAGAATTCAGGCATGAATCTACCTCTGCTTCATTTCAGTCCTCCTCTTCAACTGTAGGGAAATCAGGTATAGAACATGACATGAAATCATCATCAAATCAATTAAAACGACATTGATGATATCAGGCTCAGAGTAAATACCGTTTTAAAACATGGGGCATTGGGGATGTGATACCAACACTAGTTTGAAAATTTCCACACATACACAACCTGTGAAAGTATTTTTCACCTTTTTCCATGTAATATGCATTTGATGAAAAGGACTTTGAAGACTGGGAGAAAGCATACTCGACGTCGAGTAGCTCCTCCTCTTCAGCTTCGGTAGGTGGCTGCATGGGGGCGACAAAGTTTGGCTAAAAGAGATGATCCTTGCCAAACAGGATCTCAGCGTGGTCATTCATGCGCTGTATTTGGCGTGGGTCTGTGGTTGTTGTCGTTTTGCCCTTTTTCTCCGCCACTTTTAGCCTTTCCATCCTGCTATTCCACTGGACAGCAAAGGAAAGGAGGTAAACCTGCAAAATAAAGAAAAAACAAAAAACAAATATTGCTTAAAATGTAGATCACTTATAATGTTACTTATAATGTAAATGTATTGCTAGAGTATACACAGAAAAGAAAGTACCATACAAAAACAATCGTCAAAGGTTGATGTGATAAAGTTTTTACAAAAAAGGGATTAGCTCAGGCACTCAGCTTAAAATTATTGATACTGATTTGAGTGTTGGTAAGTTTTAGGATGTAATTATGCTTAAATATTCATCTGAAAGGGCATGATGCCGCAACGATGTGATGGGACGGCATGGAGCAGGTGAGAGTGGAGACCCACACGCGCGGTGTTACTGGCCCCACTCGTTCAGTATGCTGGTGAGGTACTGCATGGTACCCTGACCGTCACCATGTATTTGTTTCAGAATCTCCACAGCAAACAAAAGGACAACAAATTAGAAAAATTAATTAATCTAATAACAAAGATGTATTACAATCATCATGCAGGGGTGATAGTGAGCACTAAAAAAAAAATAGGTTTTTTGTTTTCCCCTCAACCACGCCCCCCTTGAGTAAAAAAAAAAAAAAAGAGAGATTCGCGGGGAAAATGGCATCTGACAACATTCCCCTCTTTCGAGTAAGAAAATTGGGGGGAAAATAGTGCAAAATAAGGAAGAATAGAGAAATTAAGAGGGAAATTGGGAAAATCCTGATAAAATAGGGAAGAAAAAAAAATTGATAAAAAAAAAAAATGATTTTTTTTTTTTTTTTTTTTTTTTTTTTTTAAATCAGGAAGAAAAAAAAATCGGGAAAAAATCGGGAAAAATAAAAAAAATCGGGAAACCGATTTTAATCGGGTTTTTATCAGGCCTGATCATGCAAGTATAACATTGCTTTTAAAGATAAACTTGAGTACTGGTAATGCGATTGCATTGTGAAAGAAAAGGTGTGGAATGGATCAGAAAAGTTGATCATAGAGCATGTAAGTAATGGTGTGTAATGCAAGGTTCTAGAGTCATCAAAATCATCATAAATTTGGCAGAGTCTTGGTAAAGTAACAATCACTTACACAGATAGATGTATATGGGACAACACACATGGTGTCTGGGCTAGTACTACCCTGATTTCCTTATCTTTCTATGCTCATTACTCAGCCAGTGTAATTTTTCTTCCAAAATTGTTTGGCACATGACATTTATTTGTAATCTTGAACATTCAGTGTAAGTTTGGTTAGATTCTGTGAGAATTCATTTATTTTTTTTACCAGAACTCAAGTTTATCTTTAATTGCATTTTACATTATACTAGATGTTTTTTAAATGAGTGATAATATATAACCTGTATGTATTTTGAAGACAAAATGACATATGAATGGTTGCATAATCATCACTATGCCACAAAATCATGTTGAAAGGAAATAAATATGAATTGAATTGAATTGAACATATATTTTGCTCTGTATGCTATGGGTATTACATGTATGTCACTATACTCTATTCCAAATATGAGCTCAAAATATTACCTCTATAAAGAGATATTGCAAGTTTAAATACACTCTAAATCAACATAAATCCGACTTGTGAATAAACTACTCGACCCCAAGTCCGACTTGGGTTCCATGTACTCTACCGAAATACTGGTTAAAATATTTTTTTTTTTGTTGATTTGAATATTCTAGTGGTACATGAATTATTCTTTTAGGTGATTGCTACATTTTATAAAAAGAAGTTAGATCAAGATCCATGTGTTTTAAGGCCCCCCCCCCCCCCCCCCCCCCCCCCCCCCCCCCCCCCCCCCCCCCCCCCCCCGCCACTAACAATGTATACAGACATATAAACCGGCACATTGCCATTTTCAATGTAAAGAGACTTATCAACAGGCACGTTGCCAATTTCAGTGTTTAAATACTTAGGAAAAGGCACGTTGCCACTAACAATGTATATACACATATAAACGGCACATTGCCAATTTTCAATGTAAAGAGACATTTCAATTGGCACGTTGCAAATTTTCAATGTAAAGAGACATATTAACCAAGACATTGCCAATTTCAATGTATGAAGTCATATCAACTTGCACGTTGCCAATTTTAAATGCAAAAGACATATCAAACAGCACCTTGCCAATTTCAGTGGTCTAAAACTCACAAACCGGCACGTTGCCACTAACAATGTATACAGACATATAAACTGGCACATTGCCATTTTCAAAGTAAAGAGACTTATTAACAGAAACGTTGCCAATTTCAGTGTTTAAATACTTAGGAAAAGGCACGTTGCCATTAACAATGTATGAAGACATATCAACCGGCACGTTGCCAATTTTCAATGTAAAGAGACATAACAACCGGCATGTTGCCGTTTTCAATGTAAAGAGACATAACAACCGGCATGTTGCCGTTTTCAATGTAAAAAGACATAGCAACCGGCATGTTGCCATTTTCAATGTAAAGAGCCATATTAACCGGCACATTGCCAATTTCAGTGTTTTAAGGCTAATGAACCAGCATGTTGCCATTAACAATGTATACAGACATATAAACGGCACATTGCCATTTTCAATGTAAAGAGACATAACAACCAGCATGTTGCCATTTTTCAATGTATAAAGACATATCAACCGGCACGTTACCATTTTTTAATGTAAAAGACATATTGAACAGCACCACGCCAATTTCAGTGTTTTAAGACTCATGAACCGTTGCCACTAACAATGTATACAGACATATAAACTGGCACATTGCCATTTTCAATGTAAAGAGACTTATCAACAGGCACGTTGCCAATTTAGTGTTTAAATACTAAGAAAAAGGCGTGTTGCCATTAACAATGTATGAAGACATATCAACCGGCACGTTGCCAATTTTCAATGCAAAGAGAAATAACAACCAGCATGTTGCCAGTCTCAATGTAAAGAGAAATATTAACAGCAGCATTGCTATTTTCAATGTATGAAGACATGTCAATTGGCGCGTTGGCAATTTTTAATGCAAAAGACATATCAACCGGCATGTTGCCATTTTCAATGCAAAGAGAAATAACAACCAGCATGTTGCCATTTTCAATGTAAAGAGACATATCAACAGCCACGTTGCCATTTTTCAATGTATAAAGACATCTCAACTTGCACGTTGCCATGGCACATTGCCATTTTCAATGTAAAGAGACATAACAATCGGTATGTTGCCATTTTCAATGTAAAGAGACATATCACCAGCCATGTTGCTAATTTCTATGTATAAAGACATTTCAATTGGCACATTTCAAATTTGTAATGCAAAAGACATATCAACCGGCACGTTGCCATTTTCAGTGTATGAAGACATATCAACCGACACCGTTCCAATTTCAGTGTTTTAATACTAACGAAAAGGCACATTGCCATTAACAATGTATGAAGACATATCAACCGACACCTTGCCAATTTCAGAGTTTTAATACTAATGAAAAGGTCCGTTGCCAATAACAATGTATAAACACATTTTAACCGGCGCATTATCAATTTTTAATGTAAAGGACATATTAACCAGCACGTTGCCAATTTTCAATGTAAAGAGACATATTAACCGGCACATTGCCAATTTCAGTGTTTTAAGGCTAATGAACAAGCATGTTGCCATTAACAATGTATACAAACATATAAAAAGGCATATTGACATTTTCAATGTATAAATACATCTCAACCGGCACATTGCCATTACCAATGTAGGAAGACATACCAACCGGCACCTTGCCATTTTCAATGTATCAAGTCATATCAACTTGAACGTTGCCAATTTCAAATGCAAAAGACATATCGAACAGCACCTTGCCAATTTCAGTGTTTGAAACTCATAAACCGGCACGTTGCCACGAAGAATATATACACACATATAAACTGGCACATTGCCATTTTCAATGTAAAGAGACTTATCAACAGGCACGTTGCCAATTTCAGTGTTTAAATATTTAGGAAAAGGCACATTGCCATTAACAATGTATGAAGACATATCAACCGGCACGTTGCCAATTTTCAATGTAAAGAGACATAAAAACCGGCATGTTGCCGTTTTGAATGTAAAGAGACATAACAACCGGCATGTTGCCGTTTTCAATGTAAAGAGACATAGCAACCGGCATGTTGCCATTTTTTAATGTAAAAGACATATCGAACAGCACCACGCCAATTTCAGTGTTTTAAGACTCATGAACCGTTGCCACTAACAAAGTATACAGACATATAAAATGGCACATTGCCATTTTCAATGTAAAGAGACTTATCAACAGGCACGTTGCCAATTTCAGTGTTTAAATATTTAGGAAAAGGCACATTGCCATTAACAATGTATGAAGACATATCAACCGGCACGTTGCCAATTTTCAATGTAAAGAGACATAAAAACCGGCATGTTGCCGTTTTGAATGTAAAGAGACATAACAACCGGCATGTTGCCGTTTTCAATGTAAAGAGACATAGCAACCGGCATGTTGCCATTTTTAATGTAAAAGACATATCGAACAGCACCACGCCAATTTCAGTGTTTTAATACTCATGAACCATTGCCACTAACAATGTATACAGACATATCAACCGGCACGTTGCCAATTTTCAATGTAAAGAGACATAAAAACCGGCATGTTGCCGTTTTCAATGTAAAGAGACATAGCAACCGGCATGTTGCCATTTTCAATGTAAAGAGACATATCAACAGCCACGTTGCCATTTTTCAATGTATAAAGACATCTCAACTTGCACGTTGCCATGGCATGTTGCCATTTTCAGAGTTTTAATATTAATGAAAAGGTCCGTTGCCACTAACAATGTATAAACACATTTTAACCGGCGCATTGTCAATTTTTAATGTAAAGGACATATTAACCACCACGTTGCCTATTTTCAATGTAAAGAGACATATTAACCGGCACATTGCCAATTTCAGTGTTTTAAATACTTAGGAAAAGGCACGTTGCCATTAACAATGTATGAAGACATATCAACCGACACCTTGCCAATTTCAGAGTTTTAATACTAATGAAAAGGTCCGTTGCCAATAACAATGTATAAACACATTTTAACCGGCGCATTATCAATTTTTAATGTAAAGGACATATTAACCAGCACGTTGCCAATTTTCAATGTAAAGAGACATATTAACCGGCACATTGCCAATTTCAGTGTTTTAAGGCTAATGAACAAGCATGTTGCCATTAACAATGTATACAAACATATAAAAAGGCATATTGACATTTTCAATGTATAAATACATCTCAACCGGCACATTGCCATTACCAATGTAGGAAGACATACCAACCGGCACCTTGCCATTTTCAATGTATCAAGTCATATCAACTTGAACGTTGCCAATTTCAAATGCAAAAGACATATCGAACAGCACCTTGCCAATTTCAGTGTTTTGAAACTCATAAACCGGCACGTTGCCACGAAGAATATATACA